TTGATGGGCCAGATGGATGGGCCCGTGGCTGGATTGGTAAAGGGCAGAGAGCTCCAGTCCGACTCAGACGCCAGCAAGGTGGAGGTGGAGTACTGGTTTGGGCTGGTATCATCAAAGATGAGCTTGTGGGGCCTTTTCGGGTTGAGGATGGAGTCAAGCTCAACTCCCAGTCCTACTGCCAGTTCCTGGAAGACACCTTCTTCAAGCAGTGGTACAGGAAGAAGTCTGCATCCTTCAAGAAAAACATGATTTTCATGCAGGACAATGCTCCATCACACGCGTCCAAGTACTCCACAGCGTGGCTGGCAAGAAAGGGTATAAAAGAAGAAAATCTAATGACATGGCCTCCTTGTTCACCTGATCTGAACCCCATTGAGAACCTGTGGTCCATCATCAAATGTGAGATTTACAAGGAGGGAAAACAGTACACCTCTCTGAACAGTGTCTGGGAGGCTGTGGTTGCTGCTGCACGCAATGTTGATGGTGAACAGATCAAAACACTGACAGAATCCATGGATGGCAGGCTTTTGAGTGTCCTTGCAAAGAAAGGTGGCTATATTGGTCACTGATTTGTTTTGTTTTGTTTTTGAATGTCAGAAATGTATATTTGTGAATGTTGAGATGTTATATTGGTTTCACTGGTAATAATAAATAATTGAAATGGGTATATATTTGTTTTTTGTTAAGTTGCCTAATAATTATGCACAGTAATAGTCACCTGCACACACAGATATCCCCCTAACATAGCTATAACTAAAAACAAACTAAAAACTACTTCCAAAAATATTCAGCTTTGATATTAATGAGTTTTTTGGGTTCATTGAGAACATGGTTGTTGTTCAATAATAAAATTAATCCTCAAAAATACAACTTGCCTAATAATTCTGCACTCCCTGTATTAGTATAATATATATGTACCAGAAAACAAACTGCTGTAAGAAATAAGGCACCCGCCTTGCAATGGAGAATAATAAAATAGATGAGAGGAGAACCTCCTTAAAATAAAAAAACACAATCCAGAAAGTAGAGACCTATATATAGTCAAAACAGAAGTTAATGCCCTTCTTTGATACAGATTAAATACCCAATGGATGGCACTTTCAAATTAGAACCTTGTCAAACATCCAGAGATCAGACTGGAACAAGCCTTGAAATACCAGACACTTCGGAAATAAAACAGCCACAACCTGCTATTAAACAGAGAGGATAATTTTATGGCAGGACAGGAGGCTTCATATTTGCTTTACCTTCTTTACTGAAACCTCCAGCAGCAAAGAAACAGTTAACAGAACTTTTCAAAACAACCAATCAGAACAAAGCAACAGTAGTATAAAACCCCTAAGCAGGCTCTTCCACTTCCTCTTTCTTTGCTGCTGCCTCCAGGTGAGCACTCACCAACTCAGAGTTGTCTCTGCTCTTGGTTGTTGTTTTATCCTACATGCTGCTTGTTTATTTAATCAGTCTATTTTATCAGTCTATTTGCTAGGTTTGTTTAGGCAGCTTAATTGCTGGTTTTATTTAGGCAGGGCTGGATCTTGCTGGTTTAGCTAGGCAGTCTATTGCTGGGTTTAGCTAGGCAGTCTATTGCTGGGTTTAGCTAGGCAGTCTATTGCTGGGTTTATCTAGGCAGTCTATTGCTGGGTTTAGCTAGGCAGTCTATTGCTGTGTTTATCTAGGCAGTCTATTGCTGGGTTTAGCTAGGCAGCCTAAGTTGCTGGGTTTAGCTAGGCAGTCTATTGCTGTGTTTATCTAGGCAGTCTATTGCTGGGTTTAGCTAGGCAGTCTATTGCTGGGTTTAGCTAGGCAGTTTATTTTGTGTTATTTCCTATACCACTTCATGCTATGTAGCTGCTGTATCACTTGTTAACATCTGTTGCTGTATTTAGGCCATTTATCTGATAGATTCTGTATACTGCTCATTGATTTATTGTTATTCTGGGTTACTTTATTCTGTTTTCTCACTCTGCTGTATGGAGAATGGGTGCCCCTGCTATGATGCTTTGGCTCTGCCTGTAATCTGTTCCCCTGCTGGGCTCTGTCGCCCATACCCTTCTCCCTTATTCCCCACCTGCTCCCCGTGGCCCCTGGCCGCTTGCAGTGCCGCACGATCACCATGCGGTAGGCCGCGCTCTGTTTTTGCAGCCACGGCAGCCATTTTGTTGGAGCCGCGGCGGCCATTTTTCAGAGCCACATGGGCTTTGTGCGTTGCGAACAGCCAGGTCTCACCCAAGAGCTGGCCATGTGGCCACCCTCCCCTCTCCCTATATCAGGGGAGATAGCCCAGTTTTCAGCTATCCCTCTGCTTACTGTGCCTGTCTCACATGCTGCATATGTAACAGATCCTGGATAGCAGGATCTGTCCCAGGCATGCTCACAACTGCAGCTTACTATGTCTGATGCAATGTGACTAGGTTCTCTATCTTAGCAGTAGACTTGTCACACTTTTTTACTATTACATGTGAATCTCAGATTTAAAGGGACATGTTACTGCTCAAATAAAAAACTTTGTTTAACAAGAATATGCCACATGTGTTATATGCTAATCAAATCTTTCTCTAAGGTTCAGTCTTTTTCTCATAAAAATTAAATGGCCTGTTTTTCAGCACCTAGCTCCCCTGCCTAGGATTTGCTGCCCTTCCTGCAAGGGACTTAAATTTTCCACTACACATACACTTCAAAAGTGTATCCTAATATAATACCTGAGTGGTCTGTGAGTCAGCTTCTCGCTATATGGACCCTCCTACCCCTCAGCGGGGCTACTGGCACCACATTCAGACCTGTTATTACTGGGGGGTGAACCCCCCGCCCCCATCCATATTTCTGGGGCTCTACCTGCTACTGGACCATAATAATGGACGTGTGACACCATTGTGGGCTGGGTGACCCCCTCCCTCTGGCAACATGGCTACCCAGGAGTACCCTGCTGGCTCTACAGCATCCTGTAAGATTAATGCTGAGGGTGACCCCCTCCTGCTTTCTATACTAATGCTCCGGCAATGTCCTGCTATTATCATACCGAGGGGGTACCCCTCCTGCAGTCTGCACTGCTGGACCTGCAGCGTCCGGGTATTCCTGTAAAAGAGGGTACCCCTCCCACTGATTGAGCTTCTGTTTTTACAGTGCCCTGCAATACGCAGATACTGAGGGTGACCCCCTCCTGTGGACTACTCTGCTGGACCTACAGGGTCCCGTTATAACCATAATGAGGGTGACCTCCTCTCGCTGACTACACTGCTGGGTGTACAGACCTCTATGATACCACACTGAGGGTGACCCCCCTCTTACCTACAGCACTGCTGGATCTGCAATGCCCGGTTCTGGTTATATGAGGGTGACCCCCTCCTGCCGTCTACACTGCTGGACCGGCAATGTCTGGTTACTTTATTATACGGCTAACCACTTCGGCACTACTGTACCTACAGTGTCCGATTATGTTCAGACTGAGGGTGACCCCCTCCCCTGCTGGCCTATACTGCATGGTATGCTTGTGCTTGTTGGGTGACCCCCTCTTGCACGCTGGGTGACCCCCAGCTGGCTGCACCACTGTACCTACAGTATCCGATTATGTTCAGACTGAGGGTGACCCCCTCCCTTCTGGCCTATACTGCATGGTATGCTTGTGCTTGTTGGGTGACCCCCTCTTGCACGCTGGGTGACCCCCCGCTGGCCGCACCACTGTACCTACAGTATCCGATTATGTTCAGACTGAGGGTGACCCCTCCCCTGCCGGCCTATACTGCATGGTATGCTTGTGCTTGTTGGGTGACCCCCTCTTGCACACTGGGTAACCCCCAGCTGGCCGCACCAGGTATCATTCCGACAGTGTTACCTCTATGGCAGTTGTGCAATCACGGCTGAAGGACAAATCTCCCGTACCCAGAAGGTCACTTGGCCTGTCCTCTTGCCGCCCCGCTGACCTCACTGCCAGAAACCATCGGTACCCTACGGGGACACTCCACTGACACCGGGTTTGCACTCTATCTGGGACTAAACAGTGGATGTCGGTGACACGCGGACACAGATGTTTCCTCGGGACGAACGGCGCGTTACCGCTTGGAAAGCGGAGAAGACTAAATTACCACTGGGAATGGACCGATATGACTTATAGGTATCGCCTAGTTGGTTTCTACCCCTGAGAACCGCAAAACGGCCCCTGTCCAAGCTGGACATCAAACTGATGGATTTAGCATCCAAGTGCTGGGTCTGCTGTCCGGAGTTACCCTCGTGTACAAATTGAGCTGACACGTCTCTATTCATAGGGTTCCCCCTTAACTAGCCCCAGAGGTCTCTCGGACCGTGCCCGGACTCCAGATCAAGGTTGCGGAACCTTGGACCGTTCCATGAGCGATACGCATGACCAAAAGAGGCATCCATTCCGACTCATTCCGCAGTTGCCCTGCTGGGCAAAGGGTGCGGTGGAGTGGACTCCCGCCCCATGCCCACGCTACATGCTCCCAGTGCATGTTGTCTGTTGACACATTTTGAGACGGAGGGCACTCATCCCCTCTGAGAGCTGCTCGGCGTTGACGATTGGTTCTCTCCCTCAAATGCACATGAGAGAAACCCGCATGGATTTTGCCATCAACATGGACATATTGAATCTGACTCACTCCAAGTCAACCCAGTTTCAGGTCTTTCATGGAATATTCAGTCCAGGCGGTGCTCCGCCTCCCGAGGACCAAGATGTCCGTCTTCAAGGAAAATACCAGGTATATGCTCCGCAACCTGCGGGTTACACTTAGGGGCCCAACCCGGTTAATTGACCGGTGCCTATTCGCCATGGAAGCCATACCTCCAGGATCCGGTACTATCAGCCGCTCCAACATGGCGCTTTCTCGGGTCTTTGGCCTGGTATGACCAAATCATGTGACCTTCGGATGAAGCTCATCTAAGACTTAATTGATGACTCCGGAGGAGGGACTCCTTTACGCCAACTGCATGGAACTACCTGCAGGTTTGTTCAACATTCACAGTATTGCTCGCTACCTTCCGGCATGGACTTCTCACCGGTTGCCCACTACGGACTGCAGTCGGATCTCACATAGGATCGCTATCTATAGCTTCTGGACAAGTATTCGTCATTTGTGACAGAATGTATGCGGGACGAGACACTCGTGTGGCGGACGGCTTCACCCGGCCATGGAGAGACCCCAGTGATTGGTTGCCTCACCCTCCAGGGTCTCGAGTACTGGCATGATTACATTCGGTGCGAACCGCCATATGGAGCGGTTCTCCAACTGGCTGCCGGACCCTCAGCGAGGCGAGGGACGAGTTTTCCAAGCTTGGTCTCCTTTGGGGCGTACGCATCCCGTTTACCTACAGGATACTTTGGGTTTTGCTTCAGACCGAATTCCTGGAAGTGTTGTTTCGCCTGGCCAAACCACTTCGGAGGAGTCCTGCGTGCTTTCCCCTTTATACTGGAGTTTGCCATGGGAAGGCAATCTACGACTCCCTGTCTCTTAATGTCCCACGTGGGATCCACAGGGGTAGCCTGCCACGACTTGTGTTTGGGTCCCAATGGCGGTCCTTATCATGGCTGTCCCAATTGTCTGGCTGAGTTGCCCTCTCAGGGTAGGATCGTATGGGGCCATTCACGTCCTATGTCAGCTAGTGGACGACTCATGTGCGTTTTCTCAAGATTCTGGCATTGCTAAGGATCTCTTGGTCTGCAGTCTACCAAGAGGAGTATACCGTACGGGAGCCCTATCTCTCGCCAGTTTTTTCCGCTTACGGTTTCCCCCCAGTACATCTTGTATTTCATCGCGTTCTGACGTCATGGTATCGACGTGTCTTCTTCCTTCTTGCCGTTCAGTACATCGGCTTCTGCTCCACACATATTTCATTTTTATTCGTCCTCTGTGTCGTACCCCTATTCTCCGGATAGGCCACGGCTCTGTTGACAGATTGTACATGACCATGTAGATCCAGGATCTGGTTCTACTCATGGACAGCTGTTTATTTCTGCGTACGGCCGTTTTGGACTGTTTCTGCATCTTCGCTCGCCCGTTGGATTTGGTGGATCCTCTCATTGACTGACCTTGAGTTCCTCTGGGACACTTTTAGTTCGGGGTGCTGTCACCTCAACAATTTTGGAAGCCGTTGGGTCCCTTCTGCATTTTCTCTACTCCGCTGCTTGGTTTAGGGAATCAGTTTTTCCATTCTCCTTTATTTCAGTCCTCTATCTCATATTGCTTCTGGTTCTACTATTTGGGCATTAAAATTGCAAATATGAAGCCTCCTGTCCTGCCATAAAATTAGGGATTATTCTAGCCTCGGTGAGGGAATAATCTAAATTTTATTAAAGACAGGAGGCGAATATTTCCCCCCCTTTTTTTTACGTTCCCTCCCTGGATCTGGGTTTTATTCTATTATAAATAATTGGGGATATTGTTATGTTTTGTGAATGCATGGTTTTACATAATAAAGGTTATTTCTAATATTCAGTGATGGTTGTCCGTGTGCGTTTTATTCATCATGTTTGTGTTGTAATTATGTTTCGTCAATGCCTTTTAGCTTAGGTACATACTAGGTCTTCATAAGCTCTGTAGACTTTGTTTATTCATCAGGTATTATGATGTGAAAGGGATATTGTATGGATATGACATCTTGCCTTGACAGTTTACTTTCACAATGTTTTCTGTTTTCTTGCAGTGTAATCTGTTTTCTCTCTGGGCTTGACGATTGTTTCTCTGGATGTGTCTGCTACAAGGTGGATTCGTTGGTTTCCTTGCTCTCCTGCTCGACCTCATCAAAGAAAGAGGAAGTGGAAGAGCCTGCTTAGGGGTTTTATACTACTGTTGCTTTGTTCTGATTGGTTGTTTTGAAAAGTTCTGTTAACTGTTTCTTTGCTGCTGGAGGTTTCAGTAAAGAAGGTAAAGCAAATATTCGCCTCCTGTCTTTAATAAAATTTAGATTATTCCCTCACCGAGGCTAGAATAATCCCTAATTAAAATACTTGCAATAACCAGTATCAATATTACAGAAAGGAAACTATAACGTTCCCCTTGAGAAACTCACAACAGGGGAATCTGTGGGAGATACTGAGCCCTAAACCCCTAAGAACCAAAAGCATGTTATCCCTGACATATGTACACAAAACATATTTACACAATTTTTGTTTTTTATGCTTTTGTTTACAGATTTATAGACATGTTGTATTTTCACTGCTCCACCTTATGTATGTATTTTGAGGGCAGCTTGTGTATATGTAAATGTAGTGTGCTTGTATGTGAGTGTTTCTCTTCTCAGCCTGTGCATATTTATGTGTGGGGTGTGTGAATGTATGTGTTGACTGCATGAATGCATCTCTTTACGTAGATGTTTGGACAGTGTTTAAATAAATCTTTCCCAAACACAAGCAATATATAATGGGTAAATAACCGAGGCATGAAATGACTAAAACACACCTGGTAGGTGTCTCAAAAGAGCATGGCGAGTGACATTTATGTAACTCACTCACCTCTATACAGACATTGTAGCAAGCACACAGTCAGCCTTCCTTAATTTCTTTATTAACTGAGGAACGAACATGTAGTTAAAGGACATACTTGTTTTCCTGGCACTATAGTGCCCTGAGGGTGCCCCCACCCACAGGGCCCCACTCCTGCCTGGCTCTGAAAGGGGGAAAAACTTACCTTTTTCCAGTGCTGGGCGGGGAGCTCTCCTCCTCCGATCCTCCTTCTCTCCTCCCCGTCGGCTGAATGCGCACACGCGGCAAGAGCTGCGCGCGCATTCAGCCGGTCGCATAGGAAAGTCACTGAAAATCACAGTGAGAATCACGCAAGCGCCTCTAGCGGCTGTCAATGAGACAGCCGCTAGAGGGAATGGGGGAAGGCTTAACCCATTCATAAACATAGCAGTTTCTCTAAAACTGCTATGTTTAGAAAAAAATGGGTTAACCCTAGCTGGACCTGGCACCCAGACCACCTCATTAAGCTGGGTGCCTAGTGTGGTCCTTTAATGATTTAGATAGAGGAGGTTCTCATCAATTTTATTATACTCCATAGTAAGACGGGTGCCTTATTTCTTACAGGCGTTTGTCTTGTCTTAGTCTAGCCTTGTTCCTTTTTATAGTTTTGGTTTTCATGACCTTAATTCTTGGCGCCATATTTCTCCAGGGTATTCCCAATATTTAAATGTTAGGGGGTTGCTGACCTAGCAGCCTCTGGGGTACAATAACTTGTCTGAGCAGATATTATGACATTATCCTATTGGTTACTTGTTTGGCTTTTGATAATCCTTAGTAGATTTGTGCAGCTCAATATTGTTTTTTATAACTATTAGCTGTATTTAAACTCTGTCCCTCCCTCGATATATACTGCTTGGGTATTCCCCATGAGTAAATTCTGCCATGTTTGATCAGGAATAAGGAAAATTGTTTCATACGTACCATAATTTTCTTTTCCTGATCATTAATCATGGCAGCATTTACATTCCCATCCATCTACTTTTAAAGTTGTGAAGCTAGTTACAAAGACTGCCTGATGAGGAGTGGTGGTTCTATTAATACCAATTTCAGAGTTCTATTTCCTGTCCGTTCTGCTGTGAGGGGAGAAACTAACCCATAAGTAAATGCTGCCATGTATAATGATCAGGAAAAGAAAATTACGGTAAGTATGAAATAATTTGCCCTAATATTGGATCTAGGCCATATATATATATATTTCTTATTGCTATTTTTATTATTAGATTTTTTATTTGTTCCTGGCATCCTGTGAAGTATCCTGTTGAAGACTTTAGAGCATATTATCCTTGGTGGGAATTATACCACCTACGCTGGAAACACTGAGCAGTTTAGCTGCTCTCACAAATGTGAGTATGGTTCTTATTCTGTTTACTCACAAGCACTGTTGTGTTTTTATATTTTGCTTTTTATATTCATGCTTATACTATTGAAGAGGCTGTGATATATATATATAACCATTAGGTGGGGATATAACAACTTTACACCTGGCCTAATGAACGTTTGCAATAAGCTCCTCCCTTATGAGTGCATTTGCCATTCGATTTATTATCCACTTTTAACTTACAATATTACACTATTGCACTCACTTCTCCCCTTGTATATTACTACTCATTCATCACTGAACTCCAGCAAACTTATCGAAACACATGTTTCCAAAAGTGGGGATTGTATCACTACACGCTAATAAATCCAGAGCTGTTTAGAAACTCCACTCCACTCCACTACACCACACAATTGGTTCCTCTCTTTTTGTCTTTATTACATGTACCCACAAAACATTCAAGTACCCTAAGAAGCAAGACCATCTGGCGGAAAGTGAAATTCTGGAAATTTTTCATATTTTCCACTTTAATACAATATATATTGCAATCTGTATTTAGCTTATTACTGTGCCTAGCCCCTGCCAATGGCACAGTGCTCACAAACTTTGAGTTGGAGATAGTTACAGTTGTGTTCAAAAGTTTACATACCCTGGCAGAAATTGTGAAATGTTAGCATTGATTTTGAAAATATGACTGATCATGCAAAAAAATATTTTTTTATTGAAGGATAGTGATCATATGAAGCCATTTATTATCATATAGTTGTTTGGCTCCTTTTTAAATTATAATGATAACAGAAATCACCCAGATGACCCTGATCAAAATCTTACATACCCTTGAAGGCTTGGCCGTGTTACAGATACACAAGGTGACATATACAGGTTAGAATTGCAATTAATGGTTAATTTCCCACTCCTGTGGCTTTTTAAATTGCAATTAGCGTCTGTGTATAATTAGTCAATTCGTTTGTTAGCTCTCACGTGGCTGCACTGAGCGGGCTAGATACTGAGCCATGGCGAGCAGTAAAGAACTGTCAAAAGACCTGCATAACAAGGTAATGGAACTTTATAAAGATGGAAAAAGGTATAAAAAGATATCCAAAGCCTTGAAAATGCCGGTCAGTACTGTTCAATCACTTATTAAGAAGTGGAAAATTCGGGGATCTCTTCATACCAAGCCGAGGTATGGTAGACCAAGAAAGATTTCAGCCATAACTGCAAGAAGAATTGTTCAGGTAAGAAAAACCCACAGGTAACCTCAGGAGACATGCAGGCTGCTCTGGAAAAAGGTGGTGTGGTTGTTTCAAAGAGAACAATACAACGATACTTGAACAAAGATAAGCTGCTTGGTTGAGTTGCCATAAAGAAGCCTTTACTGCGCCAGTGCCACAAAAAAAAAAAACGGTTACAATATGTCGGACAACACGTTGACACACCTCACAGCTTCTGGCACACTGTAATTTGGAGTAAATAGCAAGAGGCATTGCATTTATCTTGGCAAAAAATGTTTCCTTATTCATTAAACATCAACAATACGATCCAGAAGTCCGATATATTATTTTAATATGTGAAATAAATACTATTCACATTAGCCAATATCTACGCACCAAATAAAGCTGCAATAAAATTTATAACAAAAGTGTTTAAAAAAATAGAGCAGATCAAACAAGGGTCGGTACAAATTTTGGGGGACTTCAATTGCGTTGTTAACCCTCTAAAAGACAGAAAGAGACAGAATGATAGAAAAAACAGGAAACCAGGTGAGAACAGATTGCAAAACTTACTGAACAATCATAATCTAAC